ATTCAAAAGGAAACATCCATTTGCTTTTACAAGTGACCTATATGTTTTTTTGGGGGGTGACTGGGTGGCTCAGTTGGTTGAGCGTCCGACTCTTGATTTTGGCTCAGGTCATGAATCCAGGATCGTGGGATGGAGCCCCGCATCGGGCTCTCCACGGAGCATGGAGCCTGCTTAAGTTTCTCTCTTTCCCTCTAACCCTCTCCCCAGCTGTGTGTGCATCTTCTCTCTCTCTCTAAAATAAAAAATTAAAAAACCTAAAAAAAATATAAAAGTGACCTGTATGTTTTTTAATCAGTAATTCATATTTGTAGACACTAGTATTTCAGCCCTGCAAATATCATGGTGAAGCCATATCTAAATAAGAAGCCTTTAGGACAACATTCTACAAATAGACTTTGCGTAATGTAAGCCTTTCCACCTGGCATTTACTTATATAGGTTTACAGTTAAGACTCAAATGCCAAATATAAATAAGGTACAAACCGAAAAAGTCTGGGGTGAAAGCTGGTTAATGAATCAAGACTCTCTGTGTCAATCTAAGGATGTGGCTAATAACAAAGACAGAAGGTAGTATTTTTTATTATTCAAAGACTCAATTTCCCATCTTATTTGTCCTTTCTTTCTTTTCTTCACAGAGTCACATGAAATATGAAAGTTACCATATTGCTCTGCTCACACTATTTATCTAAAATCTAAGATTCTAACATTACACTTAATTTCTTAACATTATACCTAATAGCTGGCCTAATGATATTGTAAGAGTTTGTTTGCAGCTTTCAAAATGACTCTAAAATGAAAAGAGCTTACAACCATCCAAATATTTGAAATACACCATCTCTACAAAGGGTTCCATGTCTTTCCCCCCCATTAATTTGGTCTTCAAACTAAACATGACAAAGAGGCCAGCTCTACACGGGGTGGGCACATCGGGCACCTCCCCTCCCCAGCTTTGTCACGGAACAGCCCCACCTCTTCCTCCATTTGGTGCCCCCCCAACACTCCACTCTGCCCACTCTTCTCAAAGACCCTATTATTCCATATCTTTGAGATGACCTACCTTTTTGTTTTTTTTAATGACTTTCCCTATTCATTTTCCTCTAGAAAAAAAGGATTATGAAGTATTGATGGGATACACAGCACAGGTTTTGAATTTTTTTTTTTTTCGTTTATTTATTTTTGGGACAGAGAGAGACAGAGCATGAACGGGGGAGGGGCAGAGAGAGAGGGAGACACAGAATCGGAAACAGGCTCCAGGCTCTGAGCCATCGGCCCAGAGCCTGACGCGGGGCTCGAACTCACGGACCGTGAGATCGTGACCTGGCTGAAGTCGGACGCTTAACCGACTGCGCCACCCAGGCGCCCCACACAGCACAGGTTTTGAATAGGGTCGCAGCATCATCTGTATCATGAGAGCATATTTAAAGCACTACCACCCATGCCTGCTTGGTTCACAAGGAACAAGGCAGCATTTACTTATATTCAAAAATATAGAAGCAACTCTTCCTTGTCAAAGGAAAACAGGTCAATATTCAGTAGACTTCAAGTGAATGCAGTTTCAAGTTTCTTGCTAGCGTTTTCTATGTGCATCGTTTAAAAATGCCACAAGAGCCAAAAATCAGTCAGTTACAACATTAAAAACGACCCCAGTATTTGAAAGTATCTTTTTTCCAAAGGAAATACCTTTCCAAACTAGTCTAAGATAGTTTATAATAGCCTAGATATAATTTCCCCCCCAAATGTTTGACTAATTTAGGCAATTAATTTCCATTTTTTCTTACATGTAAGCTAAAAAAACAAACCAGGGCACAAAATTAAAAATAAGACACTTTTGGAAAGAACTAAGTTATCAGTTTATTTGGTAAACTGCCTTTTCCTTGCCATTGCTCACAAGTTAATAAACTCCTTTTTACATCCAGTTTCTCAATCAGACTTCTCACCAAAATAATTTAAAGCTAATGAACATATTTTTCTAAGAGTATTCCTACAGTCCTACCAAATCCCAATTTCACACCCAACACAAAACGTACACTGCAGTTTAGTAACTCTCCTACTACAGAAGTCACAAAAAAGAACCACCTTACTTTTTTTCATTAAAACATCTCATCCCAAAGAGAAAAAAGTTTAGCTGTATGCTGACTATTTACAGACACATCTGTATCTTAGACTTAAGCATATGTACCTTATACATAAAAGCTGTTCAATTCTGTTAACTTAAAATATCAATTGTTCTCCAAACATTATATAAGAACGACAACCCTTCCTTAAAATAATACAGGTTTCAGAGTGGAGGTCAGCATTCCTTTTTCAAATCATCCCTTAAAACTTAAAATACAAATTTTACACGTGAGGAAGAAGTTTAATACAGCAGGGATGAGGGGCTAGTTCCCACACAGTATACAATGTTATTCAACTGGGCAGCAACATAGTAAGATTTACCCCATACTCCATGTTACCATTAGGCAGCACCACGTTTTGTTCATAAAGATATACATACAGGAAAGAATTTTCCATTCAAATAATTCACATCCATTTCTAAACGAATGACTTACCGGTTCTCCGAGAAAATCACCTCCTCCAGGAAATGCTAACGTTGCAACGTTAAAAGAATGGGATATAAAATTGTACAGAAAGTATAGAAAAGTTTATCTCTGCATCCAATATTGTATTCAAGTATTAGCAGGAAATATACCAAAATGTCAATAAAGATGTCTTAGGATAGCAGTTAAGGGACTAACTGGATGATTTTCTACAATGGATAAACATGTTTTAAAATTTAAACTTTAGGAGCACCTGGGTGGCTCAGTCGGTTAAGCGTCCAACTTCGGCTCAGGTCATGATCTCACAGTTCGTGAGTTCCAGCCCCGCGTCAGGCTCTGTGCTGACAGCTCAGAGCCTGGAGCCTGCTTCAGATTCTGCGTCTCCCTCTCTCTCCGCCCTCCCCTGCTCACACTCTGTCCCTCTCTTTCAAAAACAAATAAACATTAAAAAAAAA